AGAGTTGCTCAGTTTGTAATCCTTTTGTATCTGCTTGCATTTGTGGGCTGTGGGCTGTGTGTGTGGTGCATGTGAGAGTCTCTTTCTCCCTTAAGGATGATTTTGTGTGTCCAAATTTACTGTATGTGTGTGTGTGTGTTGTGTATTCCCAGTTGTTGCTCTACAGACAGACAAGTTTGGACATAATTTTTGAGTCTGCGCTCCTTTGTGGTCTATAGACACACACATACACATACACACATGCACAGGCTGTATGCTTAATAGCAAAACCTCCTTCACACACACACACACACACACACACACACACACACACGTTTACAAACAACATTTTCGCATATGTTCAAAGTTCAGGCTCACTTCAACACAGGCTCTGTGCACATTTAATTGCGTCTTCACTGTTTCTAACACACATAACTTCCTCCTGAAAACACACATACCCAGTGCCGTAACTTGACAAATGCTACTTGAGCTGGAAGTGCTGATACACAACCTGTGAGTGTATTTATGCATGTTTCTATTTGGCAGTGAGCATTTCCTTGCCTGTGCTTTGCTCTGTGAGCCGTGATGTCGGGCCCTCTTGCACGGGAACCGTGGCAGCAGCTCTGCCGGTGACAAGATTAAGACCTATTCCATACCTTCTCCCCTCAAAGCCAACACGCAGCGCTGCCAACAAGACCTAGCTAACAAACTACAACAGCCCACAGTGGCACATGAAATGCATCAGCGAACAGAGCCATTCTGGCTCTGGCTCCGGGGACATTGTGTACATACTGTCGGCAGCCGCTTGCAACGTGGGAATTTCAAAGAACATATGGCAGCTTGTCGCTGGGAAACAGCCTGTGTCAGAGTCTAAACAAGCTAAGAGCTATACCTAGAGAAGCCATTAGATGTCTGCTATCTGCCACGCACAAAGACACATATGTCCAGTCACGCATGTCACACACAAACGCTGACTAATGTGGTTGGCATGTGATCGTGACAGGCTAGCGATGCTTAAACTGGGTCATTGAGAAAGAAAGGCTTCAGTGGAGAGACAGGTGTGACTGTGTATTTGTATGTTGGGGCAAGGAAAGGGGGGCTGATGGGAGAGGACTACCTCACTGCATCAGTGGAGCTAGTAACAGCACTGGGACAACAGCAGCAGAATTTAAGCTCCCCACTGTCCAATTATTTACAGCTCCACACTCTGTTGCTCAGCTGAGGTCAAAAACACCTTGGCTAAGTCTGAGGCTCTCTAACCAATGATCAATCGTAAAAGCTGTAATCACCACAAGGTGGGGCACAGAGCACAGTGGAGAGGAAAGAAGTGGCATAGGTTTGGGTCAACAACGTGGGTCAGGTAGCTGGAAAGTGCTGGGAAGTTTGAAAAATGAAGCAAGAAGTGTAGCATCATATATTTCCGTTTACCACAAAAGCATTGCAGAGAAGAAGACTGCAAGCCAATGGTCAATCAGAGTTTCATCATTATTTTTTCACAGGTCACTCTCAGCTTATAATACCGACATGACAACGTCGTGAGAAACAACGTCAGAGATGTAACTATATGAACTTTCAGCACACCATTAAAGTATAAAATCCAAGCAGCATGTTACATCCAAAGTAGCACTGCTATCAGTGTTGGCTGTCTTGGCTCTCTCAACAGAAAACTGGTTCAAACAGGCACAAAACAACTCGCTTGTCATTTTTTGGGTTAAGACTAAGAATAGAATCAGTCCCAGGTTTTTCAAGAGCTGGAGAGGACACAATATTGCTAAGCTGTTATCATTTCAGGCTACTGCTAATATGGGTAATAATTTTGTGCAAATACATAAGAAACCTGCAGTAGCTAAGACAGAGACAAAATCAAAAAAACCTACATGGAAACAAGACTTCCACCAAACTGAAAGAGAAGACAAGTCAATAAGCCATAATGGTGTAATGTCTAATGATATAGTGTAACTCTCTTGTATAGACATTTACAATGACAACTTAGCAGACTGAAGCTGTAGCTTGAACCTGCAAATTCAGCAATTTCCCATCTCATCCCATCTCATTACTTGCTGCTCAGTCCTCCACGTTTTGACCGACTGTTTCTTAAATATCTACACTTCCACCAGACTTTTAAGGATGTGTTGCCGGGGTTAAGCTGGCACTGTAGCGCCGACCTCTCATCGCTCCACGAACGAGAGATCTCCTCTGGCTGCTCCCTCCGTCTCATGACCCGCCCATGCACCCGCCGCACCCCCCCCCTACTAACATCCCATCCCTCTGTTCCCATGGTAACCCCCTCATCTATTCCCACAGCACCTGCCTGCTGTCCAGGAGACACATGAGACGTGACACTGACAGATGAGGTGAAAGAGAAGAAGAGAAAAGGAGACAGAGAGAGAGAGAGAGAGAGAGAGAGAGAGAGAGAGAGAGAGAGAGAGAGAGTTGACAACAATCAGCATTTCAAAAACCTGCAGAAGAGATCGGTGAAAACAGAGAAGGATACTTGGACATTTCATGTTACAATTTGTTGCTCTTTGCATTGAGAGTTGTGTCCATCTTTCACAGTGGTAATTCAATTGAACAAAAAACAAGTTTCATTACACTGCTCATTATAACCAGCTGTAATCAACCAAAATGTTAAAGTATCCCATTAAAGCTGGGACAGACAAAGCGGACTACATAGTGCAATGAGTTGAATTAAACCTGGGGAATAATTCTGTAGGCACACGCATCCAAGCATAAGAACCGCAACCTGCTGTCTCCACGCGGCACGCAAAGACACACACTCACCCACAATCAACAAGGGTTTTACATATAAAACACACTGAAACGAACACAAAACATACACTCTGCGAAGTTGAGAAACTGAAAGAGAACACCGGTCGAGACTGTGTGTGTGATGTTTTGATGTGTAAGCATGTATTGTAGGAATCTACTGTTTGTTTTGTTTTAGATAACCTGAATTAAAATGAAGACATAAATACAAATAAAAAAAACCACGTTTCAGCAACACAAAATACAATCAAAAGTTGAGTTGAGACAAAAAAGGAAAACAGTAAAACCCCCAAAATAACTGAAATAAGATAATTAATCACAATCTGTGTCTTTTGATTATAAAATAGATTTCACCAAAACCCATATCCACACCATGGTCTGTGGAGGTAAACAGTAGAAAGGAAAACGGGCTAAGGCAGGGTGTGTGTGTGTGTGTGTGTGTGTGTGTGTGTGTGTGTGTGTGTGTGTGCATATGAGCATATATAGTATGTGTGTTGTTGGAGGCGTACGTTCTTGCTCAACTATCCTAGTAAGAAGCTTTTTAAGTTTAAGGACTTTTGGCAAGCACTTTTCTTGGCACTTTTCAAAGGGCAAGTTTTGATTTAAGACTTGGATTTAAGGTTACATTATTAGTATCAGATTTAGGCTTAGTTTGAGGATTATATCTGCACATTGCTATACAATAAAATACATACTTCAAATCAAATGGCAGCAAGGACTAACAGAATATTAAATCTCAAGGTCCACTTACAGGATTTTATTCTAGAGCTTCATCAGCAGAAGGTTTTTGCTCATTTGTTACTCAGTAGTTGTCACGATTATAGCGATATTTATAACCGGACTAAATCCGAACTGTTTACAGGGAGCTGGAACTATTTTTTGTTGACAGCGGACAGGTGCAATGACTTTATGGAGGGATTAGGTTGCCTAGCAACCTCAATGTGATGACAATGATTCCAGGAAGTCACGGCTCCCAGAGAGAAACAGATCCCATTTACATTTGTCATTTCAAGAGTCTTGCATCCAGATAAAATCCAATAAGTTAATAACGTAGCTTCATATGCATCTCCAGTGGCCAGATCACAAATTGCAATCCATCTGGGTTTTCTCAGGCTATTACCGCCTTAGCAGTTGAGTTACAGTCCACAAAAACATATGAATAAATTTTATTTAGGAACAACGAGAGTTGACAAAAGCTCTTTCACCCATACGAATCAAAGCTCTCTCACCCTCACAGATTCAGTGGTTGAACTAATCAGGGTTCAGATAAACACTACAGCAGTGTGTCTTGTATGAGAACGGATGCGTAGAAGTTGTCGAGCCTTTTTTCTTTTTCTGCTGTAATGAGACAGAGAACAACGGCTAATTTCAGTGTCATTTTAGTTTAACTTTAGCGGCTGTTATCACAAGGTCTGAGGAGACAGACCATGGATGTATTAATAAAATTAGGGAGTGAGTGGCTGTTTCCACAGATTGCCTACTGATGTAGTTACACTATGGGAGGTGTAAAGATTACATATGCATTTTGGCGAGATGGATGGATTTACAGCTTTTTGCCCTAAAAGCATCTCAAACCACCTCCAGAACAACAATTCAAAATTTCACTTGTTGATTACACAAACAAAATGCAAAGTGTAAATTATTGAGTTTTAGAGGGGCTAAGCATGTTTTTGACTTACTATTACTTAATGCTAACTTAAGAAAATCAAACCCTGCTGTAGTTCCACGGTTAACATACAGACACGAGAGTGGTGTGGATCTTCTCATCTAACTCTTGGCAAAAAAATCAGTGAGTGCTTTTTTTTTTTTTTTTTTTTTACAAAATACATTTTTAGAATAAACTTTAATCTCAACCCTAAAAGTGTTATGGATGAAATCCTATCAACCACTGAGCATGTACATTAATAGATATATCTCCTTGACAACTGAACATGACAACTCCATCTGCTGAAGAAGGCTGTGTGATATGGTTAAAACATCCAGAATAAGCTAAGGGAACCTCAAGCTGGAAAGACTGAACTGAGCTCTTCAAAGTGTCATCGAGTCTACCAGGCTTGCTTACTCTTATAGTAAAATCCATCCAAAAACCCACAGTCTGATAATGTTCAGGGTAAAAGTTAAATTTAATGTTGAGGATGGAGTTCAGGAAATAAATACTGTAAAAGTAAAGTCCTCCCAATGATATAATTACAACCATGATAAATCTGTGTTTGTCTGAATGTATGTATGAGTGTGTTTGCGGCATGTGTACTCACTTTGGGTGTAGGACAGGAAGCGGTAGAGAGGCGTGAGGTGGCCTGGGCGCGGGGCGACTCCGAGGGCGTGGTGCTGAGAGAGGCTGTATCCCTGGGCAACACCTGCACACCCCGCGAGACAATGGAGTCTGGGATCTGAGATCACACACACACACACACACACACACACACACACACACACACACACACACACACACAAACGTATGCAGACACATGTACATGTAAACACCACACACCATAAACCCATAGGCAGCACGCATACACATGCTGATATTCAAGATCCAGGATGATACACATATACGTACAGTGTCCAGACGACACAAACCAATATACTGACACACAAACCAGCCGAGAGGACAAATACTTCAACATGTCTAATATGTAGTCATATGTCAAACTTGAACGACCACGCCTACTCAACAGGGTTGATGCAGATGAAAGGCCTCAAAAAAAGTGACAAGATGATGACAAATAATGAGATATCGGGGGGCGGAGTCTTACCAACATCCATCTGTGACTGGACAATGAGGTGGGATGTTACCCTGACAACAGAGCCATAAAGCAGGGTCCAGGCTGCAGACAGGGCAGGATAGGATGATGGGTATGGAGAGATACTTGATGTTACATGTGACTACACAGACTAGACAAACATGATACACACACACAGATGTATGTGGAGACACACAGTCATGGTATATGATGTACAGAAATACAGGACAAACTTATGTTCAAGAAGAGGTTCACTCTTTTTCAACTCAAGATGTTTGTGCAGTTATTTACACTTTTAATAACCATGATGTATCTCACTGTTTAATAACAGGAAGCTCACAGTATAGTCAGATACGTAGCGGAGAGAAATAAAGTCAAGAAAATCTGAAAGAAAGTCTCAATTCGGGCTGAATCTTCTAAATGGAGCTCTTTTTTGCCAGATTTTGGAGGATACAAGGGTATATCCTTAGCAGCCCTCAGTAAACCTGTAATCCAAGGGCAAATATTTAATGGAGCATTCGAGTGCTCCTGGTCACCTTATTCTTGTAAGCTGTCTGGACATGCTGTTAATGGCATGGCTTTTTTTTTTTTTTTTTAGATAAATGGGAGGTATTTTGACACTTTTGCTTTACTTTAACCTGGGACACTGTTAAATTAAAACAGCACGCTTCATACTGTAAACTTAAATGTCATGGTACCTACCCTCAGATTCCCATTTAAACTCTATTTATGAACAAAGTGATTGTATATTTGACTTAACAAGTTGATGAGAACCACCCAAAGGCACCATTAGTTTTGATGTGCAGGATGAGGGCAATTGAGCAGGTCCAGCATTCAGCCTCTTAACAAGAGAAACAAAAATGTATCACTGTGCACTTCCTGTTTTTGAAAAACAGATTAATCATAGATTTTGAAGGTGTAAATGATTGCCCAGTTGGACCAAATTTAAGCCCAGCGGGAAGCAGCAGCGCAGACACAAGGTATGGGTTGAAAAACAGTGTATTTGTAATTTTAAGGTACTACCTGTAGCATTTTTAAACATCAACGTGTGTTCTTCAGAGTAACTGTATACCTTTGGTATAATAAGATCATGACAGCCTTTTTAGCAGCCTGGATCAGTAGCAATTATGCTCAATGCTGAAAAATACAACTTTGAACTTCACAAAGTATCACATATCTATGAAAAGTACAATAATCTAATTTCAGTATCATCAAACATCCAATCTACAGTACAGTACTTCCTGTTAACATGTCCCCACAGCAACAACAGAAACATCTGTCATAGATCAAAACAACAATGTTTTCTTTGAATTTTGTGTTTAATGTTAATTATTAAACATAAAAGAGAAATAAAGACTTGCATGATATTAAATCCTTAGTGTTGGAGATGGTGTAGTTCCCTTTGAGCAGATACTATTTGAACTACTATAAACCAATGTCACTGGTCAACACACCTTTAAAAAGCACACAATGCACCTTTCAGATTATTAAATTGTAGATTGACAAACTGTATAAAACTTTACTATCTCTTTAAACATTTCCTTTAAACACCACTGTTCCCTGTCAGAGATGTTGGTACTGGTCTGCTCTCTGCCTTCCCTTTCTTCATCCTTTTCCCCCTATCCTTTTCCCTTTCTCCATCATATGCCAATGCCAGACATTGTGACACTGGTTAAATTATCTAGGTAAATAAACTTATTGATGTTAAAATGCTACATACATCACCTTTAACATATGCTTGTATGAATGACGTGTGAACATGTATAGATGAGCGTTTGAAATGGATGATCTATGAAGACTGCAATTTTGTGCAACAACAAACCCCCCTCCCCTCTCCTCTCCTCCGTCCTGGTACCTTGGCGGCGATGGATGCGGCAGTGATGTGGGAGGAGGAGCTGTCCTCGGTGGACGCCACACCGCTGTCCTTCTTCTCTTCATCCTCCTCCTCGCACTGCACGCCCTTGTCCTCTGTCTGCCGGCGTGGCGAACTGTTGGGCGGCGGCGAGAGTGGAGGCGGTGGCGATGGCAGGTCCTCCAGCTCGTCCGCCGCCTCCTTTACCTTCACCACTGCGTCCCGCAGAAGGTCGATGGCGTGCGGCAGCGCTGGCAGGATGAACTGGAAGCATTCCTGGAAGGGGAGAGGAGTGCAAGAGGGGACAGAACGTCAGTGACAGAGATTTGGGCGAAGTTGATACTCTCAAACAATAGCTGCCAGCATGAAGAAAATAAAGGCCGGTACAGAATAAACAGTGTATTTTAATGACTCACATATTAAAGTCAGCACAGTGTATATTCCCACATCACTTATTCCATCAGTGACCTACTGTCAATTAAATTCAACACTTCCTGCAGTTGTTTCACATTAAAATCCTCACAACCCTTCCTCAAGTATACCATGCTTTATACACCAAAGGTTCCCAACTATCTTGCCCATCGGGGATAGCTGAAAGCATTTGGTAAAACATGGTGCAGCAGACAGAAGTTGTGCACTGAAACTCACACTGGTCTGCAACTTGCTGTGTGTGCATTCTCAAAGTCACAGAGCACAGGGAGAGATGATGCCCCTTTGAGCTGTTTGAAGGTCTTTAATGTGAAACATGCATGCAAAGAATGGCAAAGTAGAACTGAAGAACTAGAAATAATTATGGAGTAAAAATATATTTTTGTTTATGTCATGACATCATTACTGATCAGTGAAACCTAGATTATCCTGAAGTGTTGAGTTTACATAAACAGGAAGACAGCATCCACAGCTAAATAAAATGTGAGGTGATCAAAAACAGGAAAACATCTCACAAAAGTAGGAAGAAGTGAACTTATATACTATATTACGAGGAAAATAGAAATAAAGGCCTGCCTCAAGTAAGTCTATGTCAAACAGAGGTCTGGCCCCTTTTTGCAACAAAAGTATTTGAGAATTTACAGCACTAGGAATACTGTTATTTACTCCATGTAACAAATAGTGTGTGACCCTGTTTGAGGCAGTAAAATCAAGAGATTTCCTCCTCAACCTCTGTAGGTCACAGCGCCTCCCACTGGCTTGTGCTCATTCCTTCCTCCCTCCATCTGTTTCCCCTCTCCGGTGTATCTCTGTGTGTGTCAGTGTGCCTGTGGGCTCCTCGGCTATGCTAAATGCTCCATTCTCCTCACTCCCAAGACAAGAGATAATCTGTGAAATTATTTATCTTCCTGTGTATTTTAAGCATTGAGAAGATACATTATTAATCACCCTTCACGCTTTACAGTATCTACGCTGGCTGTGAACAGGCATTCAAGAGGGCAACCTTTCCACTTCGACTTCCAGTTTTATGCGTGCATATCACAGGCTGGATTAAATATGACGGTTAATCTTGATTTTTGCCTGAATTTAAATCCCATAGATCCACACTGGGATGCATACATGACTGGAATGGTACTGTTCACCACTGTGCATGAAATTCTGCAAAAAGGAGAGGAGGTGGACACCTCAAACTGGGAGATGAAAGAGATTGAATGGGTTACTCTCAGTAGTTGACCACTACCCCTGCTGTGTAGCCGCAAGCTAACCTTTCCACCCCATACCTCGCCTTCACTCTTATATATACACATCCCAAACCCCTCAGCACACAGTAGACTGTTTATGCCTATTGCTGGTGTGTTTGAAGCCCACATCTGAGCGTTTTTGGAAGACGTGGAAAGGAGGGCCGCGTGCGTTGGGCTAAAGTGGGCAGGGATTGCGAAAAAAAAAGCAGGAGTGATGATGGGGATGGTGTGAAGAGCCTGGAGACATTCTCTCCTTTCCCATTTTGTGCTTTCTTTGCATGCCTGCAAATTTTTTTAGGTACATCAGGAGTGCGTTTTTTTTTTGTCTGCTCTTATTCTCTGTTTTGTCCTGCAGGAGAGTAACTGTCAAGAACACTAAAGAGCAGAATCCCTGGATATACTGCCATCGGATGAGAAACACAAGCGAGAGAGGAGTATGGTGGAAGAGGGGAAGGCACTGCTGTTCTGAGAGGGGAGTTTGCAGGAGATGACGAGAGAGGATGACAGACAGAGAGAGAAAGACACGGAGAGCGAGAGAGAGAGAGAGAGAGAGAGAGAGAGAGAGTGAGCGAGACAGGGAGGATGAGATCTCAAGAGATTAAGAGAGACAGAGCTGGAGAGAGAGAGAGAGAGAGAGAGAGAGAGAGAGAGAGAGACACAGAGAGAGAGATATTCATTGAGAGAGCAAAAATAAACTGCAACAAAAAGACAGTGAGACAGTGAAGTAAAAAGTGATGAAGAAAGAAAGAGAAAAATAAATTGATAACATTTACATTTTAGACAAGTATCTTAAACACTCTTCCAGTAAAACAGAGGGACATGATTCAATTTGTAGATCCCTCGAGCGGCACAAAACCAGAAATAACAAGTGCAAAAGTTTGACAACTGTTTTTATATTGACAAGATACTTATGGACCCGCTGACAGTGTGTAAGGAGGATACCCATGTCAATTTCTGTCTTTTACCCTTGTAAGCTAGATGCAACCGCAATAAGAGCAAATCGGAAGCAGCTTGAGAAGCTAAAGTTACATTTACTATTTCCTTCCCTCTAATCATTGCTTTTTTTAGTGTGATTTACTACAAAATTTACTTTGTGAGCAGGGAAAAAAGTCGTTGAATTTTGCGTCATATGGAGTTGAAGGTACCCACTGGTTCATTTTATGGGGTCACTTAAGTTCATAATTAGTATCCTGTGGTTGTGTGGCAGTGCGCAACTACTTGACAAATACTATGGCCTAAAATCATTTATCAGGTTTTTTTCAAATAATATTTTCCTACTTCCCAGTAGTCCATGGCCTGGTTTAAGTATGCAGCTCAGTGGTTGGAAACCACTGACTTTAATTATCCATGTAACAATAGAAACATGTTTTAAAGGTCATAGAAGGATTTATTTTCCTTTCAACAAGCATTTTGAGTGAGTAGAGATGGGCCCTATAATGTAGATATGTACATGTATACATACTTACATACATATATAACTAAATAGAAGAAATAAATCAAAGAAGTAAAGGCTTGAATAGAGGAGTTCTCAGCCAATGACAGATGGTATTGCACACACTAAAAAAAAGATTACAAGGCAATGTGTAAAGTGATGCAAATATGATTAGTGGTTGAACAATGAATAAAAAAATTAACCTGTCCCATTATACAGAAATGTCACCACACTGGGTATAAATGTCTTCCCACAGGTTAATATCATCACTGTATGTTGAAGCATCATCACCATAAGTTGAAAAGTTTGGTGATGAAGTCATCATCACATGAAGAAACGTCACCATAACAAGTAGAGTTATGCAACAAAGAAAGCATCAGTGCAGGAAAAAGGATAAAATCATTCATTGTTGATAGAAGAATCATTACAGTTACGTTGAAATGTGATTCTGATGGTCAGAAACGCCATTTTTGTAGGGTAGAAATTACATTGCTAAATGTAGAAAACATCAACAAACCATCTCTAGAAACTGAAAGAGACAGCCGTGCAGAGTAAACTGGCTACAGTGCCTAAAGTTCCTAAATTAAATTATGATTTAAATATGATGCAAAGACGTTCTTACACAGTTTATGCCCGGTAAATATTTCTTTCAATGTTTCTTTTATTAAGGTGAAAGTGAGTATTTAGCCTAAGATGTAATTTAATATGTAACAGTAATAATATGTCTTTTGCAGTTTTATGAAGTCTAAGTTTATGAAGAGATAGCCTAATAATCCTGATAATGTCATCATCGTTATGTCAGATTGAGGTGTAAAAGTTTCATAGAAAGTCTCTGTTATGAAGTCAGGGCATGGATGTAGGCATTTATCCGTCAGTGAAGGTCTGATGGAATACACTATTGAGTTGCATTATGGGAAATATAGGATCCAGTGTATTTAGAGCTTGACCCACAACGAAAAGCCAGGATATCGCTTCCTCTGCTCTCCATTCATGTTTAATCTATATTTATATATTATATATATAATATAAATTCAAATAGTCAAAGATTCATTCCATATATTCAAAGATTCATTCCACATATTCAAAGAGTCATTCAATATATTCAAAGATTCATTCCATATATTCAAAGATTCATTCCACATATTCAAAGAGTCATTCAATATATTCAAAGATTCATTCCATATATTCAAAGAGTCATTCCATATATTCAAAGAGTCATTCAATATATTCAAAGATTCATTCCATATATTCAAAGAGTCATTCAATATATTCAAAGAGTCATTCCACATATTCAAAGAGTCATTCAATATATTCAAAGATTCATTCCATATATTCAAAGAGTCATTCCATATATTCAAAGAGTCATTCAATATATTCAAAGATTCATTCCATATATTCAAAGATTCATTCCATATATTCAAAGAGTCATTCCATATATTCAAAGAGTCATTCAATATATTCAAAGATTCGTTCAATATATTCAAAGAGTCATTCCATATATTCAAAGAGTCATTCAATATATTCAAAGATTCATTCCATATATTCAAAGATTCATTCCACATATTCAAAGAGTCATTCAATATATTCAAAGATTCGTTCAATATATTCAAAGAGTCATTCCATATATTCAAAGAGTCATTCAATATATTCAAAGATTCATTCCATATATTCAAAGATTCATTCAATATATTCAAAGATTCATTCCATATATTCAAAGTCATTCAATATATTCAAAGATTAATTTCCTGAATGGCATGCCATAAAATATATATATAATATATATATATATATATTCATAACTGAATATACTCTTTAAATACAATGCTAAATCACTGTCCCCTTAAAAACCTTTTTTTGTATTTGTGCATTTTCATGTCAAGTCAATATCTAAATGTTCAGTATCTACAAAATTGTTGTGTTCCCTCCTGTGTAATGTCTTTATAAAAACATTTACACACACTAAAGCTTTTCACTCAAAGTCATGATTTGACTGAAAACTGGGATTTAACCACAGTACGAAGGAAATTCAAGCAACTAAGACATATATTAAAAGCCGAAAGAACACAAATCTGTGATTGTATTGTTCACTATCTGAACAGCATATAGAGATATAGATCAATGGATGCCGAAGAGACAAAATGAGCAGCTAAAAGATGCACAGCCGACTCACATAAGGGGCTTCGTCTGGCTGGCTCAGCTGGACTTCCCCGTTATCTTTATGACAGGAGATCATCGTAATAAAAGCCTCCAACGGGCGGCTTGTGCCGTTAACTTTAACTGGGGGTTGATGAGGGAGACACTAATATGGCAGCAGATGGGGGAGAGGTGGCATAATTGATTAAAAGAAATACTAAAATCGATCAGGAGAAGCGGGCGTGTAACGAGACAGAGACAGATGTGCAGGTCAGCACAGCAGAGAGGGAGACAGATGGAGGGGGAGAAGGAGACAGCAGTGGGTGGACACACACATGCACACACACGTAACAGAAATACAAATCCACACGTACACTCTGCAGCTATGCTTCTGTGCATATAGAAATACATCAAAACACAGAAAACAGTACTATAAAACAACAAACACACAGGTCTATGCTTTATCACACACTACTGTGCATGGAACCAGAAGTGTAGCACTTTGTGTTTAGTGTCTGCTCAAGGACACTTTGACGTGGGGTTAGAAGCTGGGGATCTGACCCCCCAACAATCTGAATATAAGTGAGGAACGTGAGCTGCTTATTCAGAACTATTTGAAACAAGTTCAGCACCTGATCTGTCAGCTGCACCAACACAAGCTTCCTGTGTGTTGTCACTTGCTCGCCGGGTGAATCTGCTTCTTTCTATCTGTTTGCCTAACAACACCTAACGCTAACATCCACAGGGGAAAAAGGTGATGCTGTTACAGCTATTTGCAGTGTGTTTCCTACCTGGGAGCCTTTCTTGCTTCCTGGTAAGTTAATGATGAGTGTCTTCCCTCGGATACCACACACAGGTCTGTAACACACAAACACAGGAGAAAGTTTATTTGAATACAGAGGGAGAAAGTGCGTTAGTGCAACGAGTATGCGTCTTGATTATGGTGATATATGCCTCTCCCTCCCCCTTAAAGCCTCGATTCAGTGTTTCACAGAGTGCTGCACTTAATCATGGGTGATGAATTAACTCCACTCACCATTTTGTCTTACATGAAAAGGTGGGATGGTCCTCTTTAAAAAAACAGAAGGGAGTTGCACTGTACATTATTGATCTGTAAAGGCTCTAATAACTAGCTCTTCTCTCTGATCACGTCTAAATACAGTAATTATAACGTCTGGTCAAAGGAATATTTAACTTTTTTTTTTACATTTGTCTATGTTTATTCCTGTAAAAAAAATCTTGATCTCAAGACAACACCTTAAATAAAAAGGTTAAATATATTAATTCAGTTAAAAATAAAATATGTGTGTTCTAGTTATGTCATATGTGAGAGTGTGTGTCTGACCTGGAAAGCATGCCTAGTGGTGTGACGTTGAGGGATCCCATCAGCATTGCCAGAGACATCCCTGGAGCCTCACGCTCTATCACCTCCTTAGTGGCCTGGAGAGAACAGAATAAAAATGATTTATTTGAACACAGATTTTTTTTTTTTAAGAACCTGAATACCTCTAGGTTTCAACGTCACTCTCAGCTTAACTTGCATTTTTCAATTTTTGTCACATGTTAGCCAAGACTGTAGTCCATAGTGATTTACCATAACTACAACAATAGAGAAAAACAATGCAACATGAAGTCCTCGACCCACAGCATTACAAGAAATCAACACTTAACAATAATGAATCATTAAAAAAATCTTGGTGAAGTGCTAGGTAAAGAGGTAAAGCTGTAACAGGCAGGTAGGTGACCAGGAAATGAAATTCTGTCCTGCTGAATGCATATCTTGACTCAAAACATCTGCACTGCCCTTCACATATTGATTTTCAATCCCTCTTGAACAATCCATGTCCCAACTGTCTGAAGGCTGAAAAATCCTTATCTTACCTTTCTCCTCCCCATCTACATCCCCCATTAGCAATCAGGATTGATTGAATCTTTGAAATCAATATAGGAATATGTCTTTTCCTTGGACAGTCTGTGCATTTAAACTGTTTAATAGTGATTAAATAAGTGGATCCTACAGCCTGGGATTTCACAGAAAAATACAGTTATCGTATTTTGTACACACTATGTGTAGGCTTTTTCAGTTGGTCAGCTGGGATTTTATTTAATACAATCCAGCAGGAATACATGTGGTTTCAAGAAGTGGTGGTTTAGCAAATTTCACTATCTCTGCAGGAAGATGTGCAACAGTCGCATTTGTTTGTGCGTGAGTGTGTATACATTTGTGGGACTGCAGTTGATGCGGCACGTTCTTGACAGATAGATAGCGGAGAAGATAGTGCCTTCTCCTCCAGCTGTGTGTGTTGGGTGCCCTTGAGTTGAGTGACACTTCAAACGCACCATTAGCGAGGGAGAGGGGATAGAAAAGACTTCAAAGAGAGAGGAGCCACTGATGAGCATCGTGGGCTTGGACTCAGGAGAGGAGAAGAGATGGAGGGAGGGAGGAGAGGCGAGGAGAAGGGAAAAAGTGTAGGAGGCACAGAGGAGGGGTGACATAGAAACAAGAGGGAAGGAGGGTGAGAGAGGGAGGGGTGAAGCTGGATTTATACCTCATCATACATCATGCAAAGTCATTGATTGGAAGAAGAGGGAGATGGGTTTGTTTGATTAAACAGGCATTCGAAGGAAGTGTAAAAGACATACTGTATGTTTAAGGCAACATGTTTTGTCTTAATTACATGTATGATGAGGGTAAGAAAGGGGGAGGAATATGAGGGTATTTACAATCATGAAAAGGGAAGTAGGAACGGCTTTAATTTAGGTGTTTCAAAATGTATTTTTCATGACACCACTGGCCTGACCAAAAGTATCCATTGAATTTTTATTTTTAATAAGATTTAGTCCTGATAAATGGAACGGACATTTCCATTCTGCAGATTGAGTACTATAAGTATATTCTGATTCTTACACTATCGTACTTTTACTTAAACGAACTACAGTGAGTTTTTTCTAACTGGATAGGAAACTTAAAAAAATTTATGTTGATGCCTCTATATGACCTATAGGAACAAACACAACCATCAGTGAGAAAAAAATGGCTTCAGATTCGGCCAGATTCCCCTTGAATTCAATGAAACCAAGTGGTGGAAACACTACTGCTTTTGTCCACAGGGGCGGCTATAATCAACATAAACTATAAAATAAAGATTTTAATGCAGGACTTTCACTTGTAACTGGGTATTTCTACACTGTGGTATTGCTACCTTTACTTAAAAGATCTGAGCACTTCCACCACTGGGTAGTGATGGAACATAAAATGTTTGAAGTAAGTTAGACATACAGTAGCAGGACAACAAACCTTTAAGTCAATAAAAGGTAAATCAGTTACATTTGAGCTGGTTATATCCCTGCAAAGGAGTGTGAAACTGGCAAAACCACTACCTCTGAAAACCAAATGAATCCCTGCTGGTTCGTATGTGATAATGTCCCAGCTGACAAAGACAACTGGTCTGAATCATTCAACATTTAACTACTTCATAGACCTTTTACACAGCAGCAATTTTGTCATGAAATAGTATGGTAAACACAGGTGTTACCTCAGTCAGTCAGAGTGCTGTTATTGTGCATGTTGGCTCACTGGAAAGGCTCTGCTACACCAAATGGAACAGAAACTTAATCAGTATCATTGGTAACACCTGTGTTTTTACCCTACTACTGCATGTCAAAATGGCTGCTGTGAAAAAGGTATATTGCACAGACTAACCAAGAAAAAGACATATTGATTTCAAACATGAAATCAGTCCTGCTAATGTAGATGGAAAGGATAGGGATTTTTCCAGCCTCCAGCCAGCTGAGACACGGTTTGTCAACTTTGTTAATGGATACAGTATAAAATACAGCAACATGCAGCACTCACTATAACAGAAAAATAAGGCAAGTACCATTTATATTCCAGAGTATACAAAGCTTACAAAAGCTACTAAATGTAATCTGTTACTTCTGTCCTGCTTTGAGCTAGAACAGAATACAGTCATATGTGTCTTGTACAGCCTTCAAACACACAGAGACAGACGAGAGATATCGCTGTCTCCAGCACGCAGGGTTGAATCAGATAACAGGTATTATCAGTGACTACAGTGTCTACGTGTCTTCCCTCTTCCAGCAAGGTTGCTGTCGACCATGATTGATGAGGACCAATGATACTGCTGAGAACCAGAGCTCATCCCCTGCCAAATTGCTTATATGCGTGTGTGTGTGTGTGTGTGTGTGTGTGTGTGTGTGTGTGTGTGTGTGTGTGTGTGTAAGTGAGTGAGGTTGGCTAAGTGCAAGTAACAGAAGTACAGCAGTGTAAATCCAAAAAGGGGTTCTAAACTAAACAATGGTGTGTGAAAGATTAAATGTAGATGCAGCAGTACATTGCCTTTACGGTACAGTAGACTGTACATGCATGCAAGCATGTGTGTATGCATATAAATTGGACACAGAAAGTCTTCACACAGTTTAAAGCTTTCTATTTTATGTTGCCTGAAATTAAACTAGCTGTATCTGATATGATAACCACAGTATCAAGGGGGGGAAAACATAGATGTGATGTCAGTTAATGACGACATTAAACCACTGCAGCGTGCAATGACAATTTCCTTGTTTTGTGAAACTGTAAAATAAAATTGTTCATGTTTTTGTACCTTATTACTGAATATGACATGATGATGGTATCAAACTTAAAGATATGAATTAAAATATAGTAATATAGTACAAAACCTGGGGTAATTGCAGTTTTACTACTAACAAAAACCCATTATTATATTGTATATTGTAACCCATCATATATTATATAATCATAACAATCTGGGGTTGAAATCTGAAATCTGTAGTTAATCTGATGCCAATTATAAACAACTAATTTGTAAATAATTCTGAAATATGTCGAGACAATAGAGAAATAGAAAATCTGACACTGTGTGTAACCTCTCCTGTAGTTGATCTATTATTACTGGTATAAACACTTATCTCTAAATTGCTTGCTACATGATCCCATATCTTTTTCAAAAAAGTCAATCAATAAGGATCTAACTTCTGCCTCTTTATTTCCCATGTGACCGCGGGGCTAATTACACTGTGTGTTAATCAGTGCTGCAACACACGTGCGTAATCAGCAAGAACAGGCTGAATAAAGCAGCAACAGGAGAGATCTACCTTTCAACAGCCGTTCGCTCTAAGAAACAAAACAAATGTCTTGTACATGTTCGCTATCATCATACTTCTGTTGTAGTTGTATAACATCAATTCACCCTTATATGACCTCTTACCAAAACAGTGTCCATATTTCACCCCAAGCTGTCCTCGTTGATTCTTATGTAACGTGTTTCCGGCTACATTTTAATACAACTCTCCAGCTTCATTACACAGTTTGCAATACTTACGTCAAATACTGCAAACAATAAAAAGAGACTTTAGACAGCCAGATATGCCCAAACTAGTATGTATGACTCTAGACAAAACAAAATAAAAAATAACAGTCTTGACACATTTAAACCCACCTCTGGTGTGACGTCTCTCGGGGCGAAGCCGGTGCCTCCGGTGGTAAGGATGAGGTTAAGCTCCTTTTCATCGCACCAGTCCACCAGAGTCTCCTGTTGTGGTTTACACACACACACACACACACACACACACACACACACACACACACACACACACACACACACACACACAAACACACATGATTAATCATAATCATCACTACAGTTACTGTAGACAGATACAGTAGATAAACAGACAGATTGATAGATTACATACCTTGATTTCGTCTATCTCATCTGGCACTATCTTGTAGGCCGAGATCATACCCCCCAACCTGAGAGAGGAAGAAAGTCATTAGATTACAGATACAGTTATTAACGTATTACATTCCAGACAAGATACTTTATTGATCCCTGCAAGAAAATCCTCTTTTGTCTTGCTATCCTTGCACAGGGAGCTCAAAAAGGTCGGCTAAGGAACTGTGGACCTTGTCAGAAGTCAGTGTTTTCTTTAGCAGAAGCAGCGAGCTTAAACTCGGGATGACCTGTCTATATAACTGCCCTGCTGCCACAAGCGGAAGGTCCAAGTGGATCAGCAGGTTAAGTAGTGAACCTGGGATATTGTGGGCTCACCTCTGTCTTTTTCAGAGTAATAAAGCAGAAACTACCCCTAAAAAAACCCCCAAAGCTTGTAAATGTGGCAGTTATCTGACTGAAGCAATGTCTGTTCTTCATTTCCTGGTCTGACAGCAAACAAGACTTTTAAACTAACCCTACATCTGTCATTCACAAAAATGCACACCTGTGAAAACACAGATGGAGAGAGAAAGAAAACAGATGACAAGAAGAAAGAGAAATAGAGGAAATGAGGATGACTGAGTGAGACTGAAAAGAGAGAGACATAGAAATATAACATAAAATGAGGAGGAGAGAGAGAATGCCCTTGAACATCCCCTCCTGAAAGGATTTTCCACAGGATGGCCCACTGAAGAGGGAGCTCTGACAAGGACAGAGCAGCTGCTGCTGCTGTTGCTGTTTCTGAACAGCAATCCATGGCGCCCTCCTGTGGCTACACTGGGTATAACACTGCAAAAAGAACAACCCCAGGCTCAAGGTGAAGGCTCTGCACAGACACCCCTTATGTAACCCTTTTCTTTTTTTAAGAAGCGCTATTTTTGGGAGACTACTGCATCATGTTTCCCCTCCGCGTCAGCCACTTAAACGTCATGATACCCTCCCTCAGACAAATACCCATGAACTCTGTGAACATTAAAACATCCGCTATTTTTCTGCCTTTCATGATGCTTTTTTTTTTATCCACATAAACTCTCGCCCTTCACACACACACACACACACACACACACACACACACACACACACACACACCGAGTTACAAGAATACACTTTGCACCCTGGAAAGATCCTTCACCAAATCCATCGGCTCTGCACAGTTTTCAAACTGTGCAACGGAGCAGCAGAGAGACGCGCAAAGCAAGACAACACCAAAAAATACCGCAGCAAGCGTGCATGGAGATGAAGCATGAAACTCAGAGGGAAGCTGTCTGGTTCTGACAAAAGAGGCAGATAAGTCAGAAAGAATCATTTAAGAAGCACTTTTTTTTTCATGAAACACTGCGCATGTAGGGCCACTTGGAGCATCCACTAACTTGTGCACCCCCACACACACACACACACACACACACACACACACACACACACACACACACACACACACACACACACACACACACACACACACACACACACACACACTCCCCTGCTGATATTCCAGTGATGGCACGAGTGATTTACTTCTCCTGATGTGTTTGGGAGGGAGTTTTTTTTTTTTTGGCATCTCTGTGTGTGTATGATTGTGTTCATGCACGTGCATTCGTCCGTTTGTGTGTGTGTGTGTGTGTGTGTTTGTGTCTGTGTTACACCTCGGGAGAGTAAAGGAGCTGTCAGGACAAATCACCTCTCCCCCTCTCCTGGGGTTTTTATGCCTCTCTGTTTCAGCCCAAATGAAAATATGCTCAACACAAATAACTAGGGTTCCTTCCCACCGTTTCCTAGGCAACCCCTCCTGCCTGAAGCCTCTAGTTGCTGTGTTGTTCATCGTGAGAGTGTATGTGTGTGTGTGTGTGTGTGTGTGTGTGTGTTGGAGAGAGAGAGAGAGAGAGAGAGAGAGAGAGAGAGAGAGAGAGTTTGTGCGTGCCGGTGAATGTTTGTGTTTCTCTTTTTGTTGTTGTAACTATCGGGGATGCCATTTCTATGCGCAGGCAGAATGTTGTTGACTGGACAGTTTTTGAGCGTGTGGAGTTGCATGTTGCATGAAATGTCTGTAAGGTGAGATGTGTGTGCGTGCATGTGCTGTCAATAAGCACAAAATGTATCTCTGCAGTATGCATGTGCTGCGTGCTTATATAGTATATACAGTCTGCAGTATTTATGTTAATATGTATTTGTATTAACATAATGTGTGTTTGTGTATTGTATTGCTATGTGTACACGCAGTGATACATAGCCAACATGTAGTGTGTATAACTTCAGATAGTTTTACATATGAGGATCTACTTGAGTAGTTTTTTAAGTGTTGTGGTACACACTACATGTATTTGTGTGTATATTATCTATATTCATGTATGTTTAAATATGGATGTACATATATGTATGTATTTTATGGGTATATACTGTGCATATGTATATAGTAAGTAGTGTACCATATGTGTTTTTGCAGGTATATATGTATACACATACAGTATGTGTTCACATGTAAGTGCATTTACAGTGCAGAGAGGAGTGTCTGTTTTTTAGCCTACTCTCGTTGATGTAAATGAGGAGGACAAAATAATAGAAACACCAGTTAGTATAAGGCAATACAACAGTTCAACCACACCACAAACTGCAGCCCCCAAAATGACCATACAGTTGAATCAACACCTCTTTAAAACTGTTTTAATAAAAACGGAACATTATATCCTTCATGAAAATAGGATTTATTGCAGGACTGTTGTATTAGACTGCATTAGATTTAGATGTGTACCTAATAAACTGGAAAAAGAGTGTTTAGAATGTTTAAGTACAAGAAGAAATGTGTGTGCGTGCATATATTCTCTGTGTGTGTATGCATGTTTGTACACAAATATGTATCTACTGTATGTGGATATAGTGTATATACCCGTATATTGTACTGGCCTGGTACCACCTGGACCTCTGAATCACCTAAACAACTCTACTACTCAACTATTCAGCAGTTTAAATCAGTCTGGTGCTGGGACCAATGATGGTAAATATATTTTCAACCAATCAGCAAAGAGCTTTGTAGGAGGAATAAAAATGTAACTTTTCTATTTTACTACATAGCTAGCTCGCTACATCCCTGAAAAAATAGCGAATAACAATAAACAACGAACAGATTTCTTGGATCAACGTAAAAAACTCGGTGCTCCAACTGCTACATGCATGTATATACAGTATGGGTATGCACTATGTATAGATGTGAGTGTGTATTTATGAGTATGTGCCTAAATGTGTGTTTCAGCATGACTGGCTTCTTTGCAGATAGAGTGCTGTATTTGGGAGGGTGTGCTCTGAATTGAGGGAAGCCTATTAGAGGGGAAAGGGCCTGCAACATTTTAATCTCAAACACCCATCTATGTCTCTTTCTACTGCAGGGGGTTAAGACACATAAAGCTCTTCTTCAAACTGCAGCCCGGAATAAAGTCTTTTTTGCTCGAGGTGTGGACAAATCCTGATGCGGGCGGAGGAAGGAATGGAAAGGGGGAAGAGCGGGGCAGGTGGAGGGGTGTGAGCAGGGAGAGCATGGCAGTGGTTTTTTGGCCTGAAAGCCTGGACGCCTCGGCCAAATCTTTCTATGAATAAAAGACGAGTGCAGAAAGGAGGATAAAGAGAGAAAGATAGGATGAGGTAAAGAGAAAGAGAGGTGCACAGAGTGAGAAGAGTGAGAAAAAGGAGGGATAGACTGTCAGGGGCACACTTAACAAGAGAGAGGCAAAAGTATGTGTGTGTATGTGCACGCATGTGAGCCAGCTGCAAATCTCTGTGGTTGTGGGACACTTCCAAGATAAGACCCATCTGCCAGGGTGATTTCATTAATAATACAAGTTCTTTGTACAGGGCACTCAATCTCACTCTCTCTTTCTTTCTCTTGCTTTCCTACACACACACACACACACACACACACACACACACACACACACACACACACACACACACACACACACACACACACACACACAGTCGGTCCAGGGAGGAGAGGAGAGCCTTGGCCATCTCCACACTCCCTGTAGTAGCATGGAGTCGGTCCCATTACAGCTGAGTTGTTGGTTCGTCCATATGTAGGAAAGCTCTCAAGGGGTCACCTCTCAACATGTTAGCTGATAGAGGGAAGGATGGAGGGATGGAGGAGGAGGAGTGGACTAGCCCACCTCTTCAAATCCCTACCGTGATGAGAGCTCTGAGTGCTCAGCAAGGGGTTCCACTTTCATGACTCCACTCACAGCCACTAAACAACACGCACGCCGCCTAAGAAAGACACACACGCGTACACACTCACACACACGCCCACACTATAAAATATTCTGCGGACCACTCCACCCCACAAGCGTTCTATTTATTTACAGAATAAATGTCATCCTGGTTCAGATCTGCCATTGCTGACAGTCCCCCCACTCTCATTTCTTTTTCTGAACCATCCCAGCCACACCACATATCAAACGCACTTCATATATTTAAACAACAAAGTTGACATCTGTGGCACAACAAGCACTGCTCATATGTGTGTTCAAATGACTTGCAATGTAAACTACACCTTTGCTTGTGTCTGCAGGTAGAGCCTCGCTGATACTTTGCAGTCACACAACTGAGTCACATGTTGTAATCAAAAATATGTTTTACAGGGAGTCCCGAAAAGGTGAGTCAAACCAAAGTCAGTCAGGTTTTCTACTTTTGTTTGACAGTATACATATATGAATTCATCTTTAGCACCGAATCTTCAAGCTGAACTGACTGTACTGAATTATCATTGTAGCCGTTGTTATTGCCTTATAATCCTAATACAAAAAACTCTATTAACCTTATACAGTGCTTAGATTCACATTCAGATTGCTTTATTGTCCATTAAATTTACATAAAATAAAAATTCATCTTTGGCACTGGCATGTGGGACAATACATAACAATACACAATAATTCTGCGTTATGGTAAAATGAAAATTTAAAGTGACCGAGTGACAAGTGACAGTAATAAAAGTGATGAGTGAATTGTTCTTCCACTGGAATGTAAGCCTTCATAACCATCACAACAATACATAATACGTGGCACTACTTGATCAATTGTATATTAAAATGGGGGCAGGCAAGCTCCAAGGGGCATATTTAAACAACAAAAACAATAACAGAACAGTCTTTATAAGCAGTTTGATTCAAAACTAGACCTTAACTGAATAAAACTCATCCACCAGCCCCAAAATATAATAACTACTGAACTGACAGTCAGAGGCAGCATTATAATGTCAAACCTACATTAGTGATTTTTTGGGCCAGTGGAAACAGTTTTACACATCCAGCAGATAAGGAGTAACATTAGTGTTAAATGTGAGGATCTGTGTCCAGTATTTACTCCCCTATTTGCTCTGTTTTGGTCTCCAACTCCTGAGGGAAATATCTGTCTCTTTAGTTGCTAAAGGCTCCACCACCTTGTTCTGTTCACCAGCTATTTGCTAATGTTGTCTGTCTGATGTTAGGTGATGAGCAGGTAGTGTAGAGCGGGTTTCAAAAAAGTTTCCTCAATTCTAATGAGAGCTGTGAGAGTGAACCAACACAGTGGAATTGGGAGCCATAAAACCAAAACAATGAGCTGAAAGAAGCTAAAATGCTCTGTAGAGCTGAGGGCAACTGTAGAGTCTGGTGATAATTCTTTGTGTTTATCACTCTGAGTGACAGCTCTCACATTATACATAGTCATTTGATCCATTGTAAATATAGAAATATTGATTACAGCAGCTTTAACAACTTGCCTGTAATCACTTATTGATTTTGATTTGGATGGTGGTGTTATCACTTCACTTTGCATTGAACATTAAGTATTTTCACAAGTTGATCTAAATAAAAATGTGTTATAGATATTATGATGCTGGATCTCAGTACAGGTTTATGTGTATGTGTGTTTGTGTGTGTGTGTGTGTGTCCTTGTCCCCGGTCTGCCTCCTTCCTGTGAAATTGGGCCTACTGTCACCCATCTGATTGACTTCTGGCTATTCTTAGCCATGACAATTTGTAAAATTGACAAAGGTTGTTACAACACAAGTCGCTGGAGGGCAGAGACGCAGAGTTGGCTCAACAGCCCGGGAGGGAGGCTCACATTATCGGAAACACCCACGGACGCACTCACGCGTGGTGACATGCAAAAATATGTGCTCGCTCACAATGGTAAATGTAAAGATGAATACAGAAAACACACACAAGGACACCCACATGTATGCACACACCCACCCCAGCCTCATCTGTGTGTCCTTGAGTCTGAGTATCATTTGTTTGACCCCCCTCTGTTGCTCTCTTTTTTGCCACATTTCATTTTTCTCTCCACCTGCCACACCTCTGGATGCTCCTGAGTGCCAAACCGGGCAGACTGATTGATTGCTTGTGCCAATATGTGTGTGTGTGTTTATGTGTGCCTGTGATTATAGTTTATGTTATGTGTCCTGCTGTGGCCCCATACTCCCCTCCCTCCTTCCCTGCTCCCTTCCCCCGCGCTCTCTCTCTCTTTTTCTGTCTCTGTCTATGTGTCTCTGTCACAGCAGCAGTGGCACATTGAGGGCACAGCGTTCCGGCTGGTCAACCTGATGGAGCCGCTGACTCGTGGTGTGGCGTGGATTAACATGGCATGGAGGATCTCAGGCCGGAGGAGGTCAGCCGGAGCCCGTCTGCATGGGCTACCATCAGCACAGCAGACAGGGACACTATCGTTGACTGCTGGTCCGAATGGTGCAATTTACATGTTTAACAGCGCCCTGTTTAATCCAAGATCAACCCTCTCAGTTAATTGGTATACACCTTCATCAAAAGTGCCTTTTTAGTTGTGTAAGTGGACCACCGAGCCCCTAACTCTGCATCCACACTGAGCACCATCAACCATCACTGGAAGTCCACTCATTTCCCATAGAGGAGACCTAGTCAAGGTTTGAAAAAACCTTTTTAAAAACGATTTTATTCCATGAACATTTTCTCCATCAGGAGTGCACAATTGATTAAACATTGATTTCAGAAATTAGAAACATCAAGAGTTCTCTTTAATTATTATAGTGGCAACATTAAAGTGGAATCCAAAGCTCCTTAGGGTGCCATGAATGCAGACCTTGGCTTGACTTGCATCCAAATATTTCATTATATAAATCCACCTCTTATATCTCTTGTGTCAATATGGAACTCTATTACAAAATCTTTATATACGACTGGATTGGAACTACCAGAAGTGTTCTGCAGATAAGTCAAAGGAAGGTGGTCGGGGTGGGTCGTAGGTGTACATAGTACAGGACTTTGACACCATTGGGTTAAAGGCAGGTTAGGAGATAATCCTATAAGAGGAAAAAGTAAACTCACTTTTTTTTTAGGAATCAGTACTATTCATGTTTCTTATTTTAAAGAATACTGCTACTCTTTACTCGGGTATATTTTTGAGCCAGTGTTCTACTGTTTGCTAAATTTGCCATTTACACCTCGACTACACCTGCAGTGGCCAACTTGCCAGCTTTCTGGAAGAAAAATAAACATCACCTGTCTTTTGACCATGATGCGATGATCATAGAGCAAAACCCAGAACAAGAGGCAGCTTCCAGCGACAATCCCAGGACACATCTGGCAACTTTTTATACCAATATCTAAAAATGACATCAGACACATGAAGTGCTTGCTGTGCCTCCAGAAAAACACTGAGATCTTTGCTTTTAAAAACACACTGGAGTTAGTTGCACATACTGCAGGTTAAAAGCCATGTAATGTTAATTTTTCATGTGTAACGTTAACCTTTGATGGTATGATGATGACATTAACTAGCTAGTGGTCTGTTGGGCTTTTACACAGGTGTGAAGTTAAAAACATTAAAATGGAAAGTAACTTTTGATTTATTAACCAGGTACTTTATATTTAAGTAGGTTTCACAAAAGGTAATTTTCAAATTTGCTTGAGTCATTTTTTATGTGAGAAACTGTACTTACATATAGAGTATAGATTTCAGTACTCTAACCACCACTGTGTGCTTCAAGTCGTCATTGACTTTTTCAATAGTTAACTAACACCATGTACTTTGAATTGCCTAAAAACAAACACTAAACCTGTGATGCTTGAGTTTCCACAAGCCGGTATTTTGGAGAAAAAAAATTAAACATGTTGCCAACTAATAATTCCTGAAATGTTTAGTGATGGGAATATTTTGCAGACACTTGCGTTAAATCCTTATTATGTTGATAAAAACATAACACATAGGTTTATATATATGAATATATATGAATATATATAATATAAGCCAGATGCCAGATTAAGATACTCACTGTAATTAAAACTATATTCCTATTTAATCATCTGTCCACAATCAGTCAAACAATACCATATCCTCATAATGCTGCTCACAAAAGCAAATTTAAGCAGTGTTAGCTCAAGGAAGAAACTGAATGAGAGACACAACCCTACCAGTCAGACCCTGTAATAAAAACATGACCTTATGAAATACATAACTATGTATAAAAGCCAAAAAACACACACACTTACATGGATTAAAGCTTTTTCCCGTGTACGGACGAATACACAAACAAAACAATACAAAACAACTCCAGGAAATCCCAAGTGGGCATACTGTACAAATAAGCATGCAATGGATCCCTATTCACTCGCTGGCGCTCTATCTAGCGTGACGCACATGACATGACCAGCCTCCTCACACTCCCTCTCTGTGTCACACAGACACGTACATTACACGTCAGCCTCAAAATAAACATACCGTAAAGGACATGACAAGCATGGATCAACCCAGGGTCCCATAGCGGGGCGAATGGTGACACTCCAGTGATATTGACTGGTGTGATATTGTGACAGAGGAGCAGGGCAGCTTCAACAAATCAATGGCTGTATGGAGAATGACTTGGATGTCTAGAGAAGCGTGTCAGCTCATAGTGTTTTGAGTCACAGTCCAAGACAATGTGTTATATGTGCAATGTATAAAAGACTGTTATTGATCAGTGACAAGTGAAAATCTGACTTAAAACATAACCTCCTTTCTGCTGTGGACTTCTATAGCTGAAATATTCAATATGTGTGTGAACACAGGTGTACTTTTGTACCTTTTAGAACTGAACTAAGGGTGCTCCCAACCTTGTCGCAACAGTTTGGGGAAGATCCCTTTCCTATCCTGTTTTAACATGACAGTGCACAAAGTGAAGAACCTGACTGTCCTGCACAGAGCCCTGACCTCTACCATATCAAATCCCACCTTGGGATGAACTGGAACTGTGAGCTAGGCCTTATCGCCCAACATCAGTACCCAACCTCACTAACACACATGTGGCTGAATGGGAGCAAATCCCTGCAGCCAAGCTCCAAAATCTTGAGGAAAACCTTCCCAAAAGAGCAGATGCTGTTTACCAGCGTATTAATTCCCAGGGTTTGGAATGAGATGTTCAGCAATCGAATAAAGGTGTAATGTCTGGTTGGTCCACATACTTTTGACCATGAAAATAATCAGTGGTTTACGGGAGATTACAATAGAGCACAAGTTAAATTGTGATGGAAATGGTTGTTTTCCTGTGTGTTTTTCATACTCTTTTGTCACTGATAACATCCCTGCTAAGGGAAACAATTGTTGATTTCACCTCCTTTAGCTACTTTGAGCAAATAATGAGTTCTTGCAGCTACCAAGCGCCATCCTTAAACAGAAAAATGCTGCAGCTCTTTTGTTGTTGCCATGCATGCTGGGGATTTCTCTCTATAGGGTGACACTGAGCTCCGACATGTTGTGTTAAAGAGATATTTTTAGTTTCTTAGTTACACTCTTGCACAAAAAGAGCTCAGTTTCCACATACAAGCTCACACACACACACACACGCACACACACACGCACACACACGCACACACACACACACACACACACACACACACACACACACACACACACACACACACACACACACACACACACACTCATGTGCATATTTTATAGTGTGGTAGATTTAAGGTTAGTTAAAGGACTTAATTCTGGAATAAAGGATTGTTTGCGTGTCGCCGTTTCTGTAGGATGAATTCTCATGAAAAGACCAATACTCACAGGGAGGGATCATGGACGAGATCTTTGAGGTTGACGCCACTGCGGTCCTCTGCAAGGTTACGAAAACAGCTGTCACTCACTGGATGGACAGACAGAAGAAAATGAAATTAGTACACAACTTTATAAGCAGTCTAAAATTAATGCATTAAGAGCTCTAACTCAAATTGATTTTAAATCATAGGCATTGTCCAAACCGTAAATACACAAATGCCAACTCACTGACTATATACGCCCAAATGATCAGCTGATGAAAACTAGATGAACAACATTCAAGATGCTCCAATCCAAACACATCCTGTCCTGTGCAGTTTTGAAAACATGTCTGTATTCACTCTTACATTTTGATCCCGATTTCACTCCTGTGACTCAACCCCCCGCCCCCCAATCCCCCCCGAAAATGTATCCTGACATAGAGGATTCTTACATTATGTCTAAATTAGAAATGATCTCAGTTGTTGCAGCCCCACTTGTCAGTTTCCACTTAAATAAGGCAGGTGTATCTGTATATGAAAACTATGTCTGGTTTATCTGCTTTATTGTCTTCTGCATCATTTCCTCCCAAATTATGTTGCAAATCAAACATGGCCACTATGTGAGTAAAGCGAACACAGACGTCCCACCCGCCACCTTCACCCTGCACACTTTTTGATCACACTGAGCCTCTGTGAAGCCACACCTTCGTCGCCTCCAACCCCTCCACGGCGGCCCCCTCGACTGCAGAGCAGGTGTGAGCCACATGAGTCATCACGGTGATCACAGACGGATAGAGTGACGGATAGAGTGAGACAGGGAGAAAGACAATGACATGGGGAGAGGAAAATGGAAAAAAAATAACAAAGTGAGAGAAGACAGAAAGAGACAGACGAGGAGGATGAAGAGAGGGACAAGGTGTTTTGTGATTTGACGGGGCCAAACGTGAACGGACACGCTCGTGTCTTAAAATAGATGCAAAAACGAATGAGGGGTGGTGATGGTGGTGGTGGTGGTGCAGTGGGTTTAATCCAAAAAACTTGATGCGCTAGTTGTAGACAAGACTGGAAATGTCATGATGTTACTCCAATGAAGTGCCATGATCCATGAACGCAGAGGAGGGGTGGAGGGATGGGTTGAGTGGATGGGTGAAGCAAGAAAGGTGTAAAAAAAATGGAAGTGGGATGGACAAGGGGGGATGTGAAGGGAAGGAATGCACCAGAGCTGGAAAGGATGGAGGGATGCTGGTGGGGAAAATGTGAGATTGAGGCAGAGAAGAGGGGATGAAAAGATGTAGGATGGAGTGATTTTTTTTTACTGAGAGAGAAGAGGGGGAGGGGTGATGAGGAGAAAAGCAGTGCCGATGGGGCAGCGCTGTGGAGACAGAGGTAAACAGAGGGTGCAGGACGTTGCTCTGGGCTCTGGCAAATAAATGGGAGAGTGCTGACATTTGCACACCAAGCTAGCTCAGAAAGAGAGAAAGAGAGGGAGAAACAAGAGAGACAGAAAGACTGCGGGAGGGCGGGCGGGGGGGGCTGGGGGTTGGGGGTGGTGGGTGTATAGTGAGGAAAAAAGGTTGAGGGAGGAGAGAAAAAGGGGAGCAAGCACATGGAATACACACCACCCTGGCTTTAGAGGGGCACTGCTGCATAAGTGCATGTGTGCGTGTGTGTTTGTGTGTAGTATGTGAAGAGGGAACTTCCTTCAAGACTGCAGTATTCCTTACACACACACACACACACACACACACACACACACACACACACACACACACACACACACACACACACACACACACACACACACACACACACACACACACACACACACACACAGAGCCCTCCTCAGTCTTTCTCTCCCAGCTACCCCTTGATCTAAAAATAGCCGTTCCACTCTCCTACAAGAGGCAGCAACCATTCTGAACCAATCAACACGCTCTGTCAAAGGCATCGGTACCCACCACCCCTCTATGTGTGTGTGTGTATGTGTGTGTGCATGTGTGCAACAAGGGGAACTCCTGACTGAAGGTAATAAAACTGCCCCTCCCTGCTGCACTGGTTAGTAGAAATGGTAGGAAAGCGATCCCTTCTACAAAACAATGGCACGGAAAAGGAAGAAAGAAAGCGAGCGAGAGAGAGAGAGAAAAAGGGGGAAACAAAAAGAGGGAGAGAGGGAGTGAGGGTGCAAGAGAGGGAGAGGGAGATCTGGCTGCAGTTGAAACAGGCTTCAAAGGAATATTAATGTGATCCTGTGCAAGAGCTGAAGACAGGGGAAGAGAAGGGGGAAGAGGGAGGGAGGATGGAGGAAGAGGAGAGAGAGAGGGGAAGGTGCGCAAGAATTTGTGACGCTGCTCCCAGCCACCTCCTGAGCTCCGCCCATGCACCTTTCTCCAGGTAAATCTGCAGCTTAGCTTTCATCATCTTTCACCTGCCCCCCTCCCCCCAACATTGCTGTGCACTGCATCATCTCTGGTGTGCGTCCTAAAATCCGCAATGTAGGGGAAACCAAGGATTTAATCATCACAACAGATGTCCACTTAGCTTTTCTCCCGACCCTGCGACTAGTTCAGAGTCAGACCTGATCCCCGAGCAGCCTCTCACGGCGAAAGTGAAGACACAATTCAGTGACCTCGTCCCACCCCAGAGGGCGCTACTCCCCACTGGACATACAGTACACAGCAAGATAAAGGTCAATGCTTCTACATGGCTGAACAACTACTAGAAGACAGACAGCTAAGGCCAGACAGACAGCTGTCAGAGCTGAGACAGGTTCATTCTCAAGACTACCAGTATATCATCCTGCTATTCGGCAGAAATATTTAAAGGCAAGTAGAAGCTCACATCTTGTCAATGCAATTTAAATTCAAGCCAGTTCATTTCATTTTCATATCTGACATTCCTTATATTGATTGTAACTAAAGAATGCACCTGCACCTTTTTGTTTCTTCTTTTGCGTTTCTCCATCAACTTATATTTGTGTGTGCTAAATAATGATATTAATGTGTGGTTGAATGTTATGGAAAAAGCCAGAAAGTGGATCTGGAGTTACGTTTTCAAAGTTTCCAAGGTCAAGAATGAACACACTCATAACTAATAATAATATTAATCAGTAAAATGAAAATTATGAAAATCCATTAAAGAAAAACACAGTAACAGTACGTAAAATAAGTAAGCGCAATTTTCAACTTAGTTTGACGACTGGCTTTACGTGCTTGAGATGTAGTACCTTTGATGATACTCTCATACAAATGTCTTAAACCACACTGTATTTATCCATATGGGAATTTCTTTAATTCTAATAATTGTTCAATCTAATATCTATTTTCTGGTGCCTATGCCTTTATTGACTCCTGTCATCTCATATTTGCCTCTACCTGTGAGTGTGTGTGTGTGAGTGGAGAAGCCTGGATGTCCCCAGGCTACAGCAGTGGGAGGAGAGCAGGAGGCTTGAGCTTCAGAAGCATTATGCAGGGCAACACCACTCACACATGGGACCTAGAAATGCACACCCTAACACAAACACTCATGCATGCTCTTAAAGGGTTAATCACTAAACCACAGGGGGGGGGATCAGGACACTGGGGATGATATCAAGAGACTACAGGGAAGAGAACTGATAAGGGAGGAAAAAATGTCTAAGGAGAGAAAATGAATGGAAGGAATTATTGCTTGATAGGAAGGAATTCGAGAAGTATTTATAAAAAAAAAATAAAAATGTTAAGCTTTGTTTCTCTGCCCTCAGGGGGTAAGACAAATGGCGGTGGACAATACAACCAAATAGAAGTACTGTTTTGTAACACAGATAACTAAGTATTGTGCCCATTTCTGTCCTTTCATAGAGATCATAAGATCAGACAAAGGGAAAAATATATGTGACACAATTTGGAGGCAAATGCCCTCATCTAATTTCAAAGCTTTTTATTGTATTTTAAAACTGGTTAACTGGGTCCACTACAGGGTGTCCAGTAAGAACCTAACCAGAGATGTCTGACTTTATGATCCAGGAATGTTTATTATGATACAGCAGGACTTTATGATTAATTACACCACATGTAGCTAGGTTATCTAGCAGGCTCACCCTTACTGTGATATGGGCAATTCAGGACCTTCCATCACAGTTACGAGTGAGGACCTCTACTACTGCTATTTGACTCACAACACCATAAGACCTTCAGGAGAACTAGAGGGCGAGAGTTGTGTATAAATGTGAAATCGAGGTGGGAAGGACGGGTGTATTTCCCGTCAAAAGGATATGTTAATTTTGAATGTAATATTACTTTTCTTATTTTTTTGTTTTCAAAATGATCATCCAGAGCTGTTTCCCCACCATCCACTGCTTTTCAGAGCTCCTCTTCAGTGCATTGCAGTATGGGAATGTTTTTTGACATGTATACTTTTTGAGTATACTTCATTTTGTCACTTTATTGTCTAAACACATAATTGGGACACAGCCACAGTCTGTTTAACAAGTAGGATAGATGCTGTCAGGGTCAGCAGGCAGACCAGGTTTGGTCTGTGTGTGAAATTTAGGTAGCAAGGTGTCTTTTTCTGATACAAATACTCTAGATTTGGTGCCGTCCATCTGTCATACAGTAAGCTTAGGTAGCTAGCAGGCTATGTGCTGTCAGTCTGTTAGCCACTAGCAGAGGGGGATTCATAAACTGCTGCTATGTTCCACTCAATCATTTCCAGGACATAAAGCAGTCAGCACTCATTATCTCCCTGGGATCCCACACTAATCGGGTTTTCCCTTATAGCAGGTCCTCACACACACTCCCACACACACATCCAACACACAGCTCACATGCGCAGTGTACATGTGTATGGATTTGCACACATAAACATATATCTTACTCCAGGTACATAAACCTACCTTTGCTCACAACAGCCTTGGACACCTTGCCATGGATCAGCAGTTTTACACAACTTGAGCTACAAATCACAGTGCAAGACAGAGCGCCTAGAGTTGCCTGTGCCAAAGTCTGCTTCCCGTCCAATTATGACAGTGCTTATCTATCATTATGGCACTATATACCCTGCTGTTCTTGAAAGAAAAATACAGAAATGTGTCTTGTGTGTTTTGGACATGAGTAGTGAAGTCAAGAAATTA